GCCGGTGGCCTTGACGGAAGAGGAATCAGTGGAGTGGATGTAGGTCACAACGACCGAACCACTATAAATCGGTTTGTATTTTTATTTTGCTATTTCCCTTTATTGCAATCTAGTTTACATTACAAACTGATTTCGTACTCTCACTACACTCTCATACGCTTTCAAGTTAACATCTTCCGAGATTGGTTTCAACGAATGAATATTTTTCAAAATCGATATTTTTATCCGCTGCACTAATTCACACACCCCCCCCCCCCCACCCCCTCCTCTTAGTGTCGACTCATTCCTAACACTTAGTATCAGAGCCATGGTTTTTCTCATTTAGTTTAAGACCAAAGAGAAATGACTCTTTTCAGCTTTTCGGGCTTTTATATCGTTCGTCTTCCCATGTTCAATGGGAGGGACTAGACATATTGGAAAACTCGAATGAGAGATTTCTTGCTTTCGTTGAATCTCAATTTATGGAATATAGTCAAATTTGATTTTCAAAAGTCTTCTCTTCCAATGAACGAATGGAATGATTTGGAGGAGAAAACTTTTTCCTTAAATGCTAGAGCTATGAACGCTCTATTTTGTGCTTTGAGCAAAAATGAGTTTAATCGAGTTTCTACTTGCGAAATGACTTTCGATATTTGGCACACTCTTGAAACCATACACAAAAGCACGAGTAGGGTAGAAGATTCTAAAGTCAATCTTTTAATGTATGATTTTGAACTATTTCGAATGAAGCCAAGCGAACCATTATTGGCATGTACACCCATTTTACGGATGTCCTCAATGACTTAAAAGCTTTTGGCAAATGTTTTTCGAATCATGAACTTGTTAACAAGATATTACAATCTCTTTCTAAAAATTGGAATCCTAAAGTAACGGTCATTCAAGAGGCGAAGGATTTGAATACTTTTCCTCTCGAAGAACTTATCAGGTCTTTGATGATCTATGAAATGACTTATATGGTATAAAACAAATATAAGAATAACAAAAAAATAAGAAGGATTTGACACTTCGAACACTAGAATACTATTTGAGTGATAACTCAAGTGATAATGATGATAACTTTGAACTTCTCACTATAAAATTTAAAAAGTTAATGAAACAAGAATTAAAGAATAAAAATAAACTAAAAAAGAAGAAGAATGTGACTTGGGACAAATCGAGTATCTCGAAAGACGAGGAGCAAACCGATATAGACGAAGTGGTGAACATCGCCTTGGTGACTCTCGACAATGAGGTAAACAACTCAAACGAAACTCCTTTATTTTATTTTAAAATTACTTGATACTTTTTTATAAGTTGTTTTAAATAAAAAAAATTATAAAAAAATATATCATGCTTCTTTTTCTAGTTATTTTGAAAAAATGATAATGACAATTGTATATTTTATAATGAAGGAACAAAATATTAAATTTAAATCTAATGCTTGCACACTTAATAAGATTAATTTTATGTATGTCTTAAGAAACAATAATATGTATTTCGATGTTTTTTATATTGCTTTTCAATTATAAATAACGATGCATGGCTTTTGTATAGAAAACTAAGTATGAAGAGTTAGATTCACTTAATCATTTTGATTTAAAATGCATTACTACAACAAACAAATTGATTTTGATTGAAAATGCTTTATATTTATTGAAATCATGCTTGATGATTTAATAATGCAATGAAAATGTTAAAAGATTTGGTATTGATGATTTTATATTTAATTATGCATAATGATTTGAAGTAATGATGATTTTTAGGTAATTTATGGTTTATTGATCTTATGATGAGATTTGCTCTTTCAAATTTAAACTATGATGTATGGTTTTCATATGAAAAAATTTGGGCATGTTTATATAAAATCAATCATATGAATTGAAATACTAAAAAGAGCAAAGCTTTCTCCTTGAAAAATTTCTCTACTTTATCGTTTTTTTCAAAAAAGAGAGATTAATAAATCTATCTATGTTTTGTTTTTCTATGAATCTCTTGAAAATGATTTTGATTTGATGATTTGAATTTGAATGAGCTTTATCTTGATTTTTTGATATTTATAACTTGAGATTTCTTAAGCATGAATCAAGATATTATATCATTTGATCTCTTTGTTTCTTTATGGCATTTATAAAAGAAGAGATTTGTTGAAATAAATCATGTCTAGTGGCATTCATGATTTGATATTAATATCTTTCATGTCATGATTTTCATATGACACCTTTGTATTTTTGTGATGACTTTGAACATTTACACCATTATGTTCTACCCTTCTTCTTTCTTGTTTACAATGATAAAAGGGGAAAAGAAAATAGCTAGCATCTCAAGAGAACCAAATTTGCTAGCTTGAATGATAAACTTAGATATGTTATAGCTCCCAAATGCATAAATTCTTCTTATACATTTTTCGGATCATGATCTTGATTTCTCAAAATTTAGACTTGAATCTTCTTTTTGAATCAAGATTTTTTCCCTATCATTACTTCTATATATAAAAGAAGAGATATGTCAAAAATCATAACTTGATCTTTCATTTTTTATGATTGAAATAATGATTAGAATATTGATGTAAATTTATTATTTATATTTGTCATGCTTTAAAAATTATTGGAAAGAGAAAAAGTATTATAAAATTATATTATTTCCTTCTTTTTGACAATGACAAAGGGGGAGATAAAATCAGCTAACTTGCTAGCTAGCTTGCATACTTCAAGAAAAAGCAAAAAGTTGTTATTTTGCACATCATAAATAGAAGCAAAAAGTTTGCTGATCTTAAAAGATACAAAATTTTGCCAACTTTCATATGTGTAAAATTTGTTAGCATGCCAGTTCCAAAATTATATAAAACTTACTAAAATTTGCTAATTTGTATGTTCCAAAATTATATAAAACTTACTAAATTTTCTAGCTTGCACAATTCAAGAAAATACAAAAACATGGTAGCTTGTTCAACTCAAAAGAGAAGAAAAGATTACTAACTTATATATTTCAAGAAACAAAAGTTGCTTTCATGAATATCTCAATTAATGCAAGCTAGCATGATGTGAAATTTTGCTAGTTTTCAATTTGCCAAGGAAGCAAAAAAATTATACTATTCAAAAGAGAAGAAAAAAAATTACTAGCCTACATGATGAAAAAACATGAGACTATGTATATTATGCAATAATTTGATATTATGTCTGAACACTTGCTAGTTGCACATCTCATTTTTGTAGATGAAAAAGGGGGAAAAGTTATGACGACAATCATGCATGGAATAATGTATTAAAAATTTGATTATGTATAATTTTATGATCACACATGATTGC